CGTGCTAGCATTCAAGACGGCCCTGGACGAACGGTGGTCTGAACTTGTTCCTGAAGTGGAGGTCTGACCATCCATCCAGCGACTTAAGAAGACCAGTAGTAGGAGCGGTACACTCAGCTTGCATGTTTTTTGTTTCGTCCTGCCATTTATTGGGATGTAGCCTGGAAGATGACTGCTCAAGAATAACAATCTCTCACCTTGGAGGTGAGATGAGGCATATTTCCCTTTTCTTCCTCTTTTCAGCCAGGAAATTACGGTGGGTGCCATACTCACCTCATACCACCGAAGGAATTCTGGGCACTCGATTGGCCGTGGTCATTTTCTGTCCTGTGCAAACTGAACTGAACTGAACTGAAAACGGCCAACCAAAACCCTCGAACCGAGCTACATAAGCCTAGTCACGCTGAGAAGTGGCACTTCCCCCATGTTGCACTGATGGTGTTGTCTAACCTGGCAACTAAACGTTTCCGAACAACACTTCCAGCTCGGACAGAACATCAACACCGGCATCCCAAGAAACAGTCATTCTACGTTGTCGCCGCAAATACTTTCAGTTGTTAATATTTAAAGAGATGGTCGCTAGAGTTTTCACTAGACCTTTCGAAATCTACTGTGCTTTTACTAAAAACGACCCGGTATTATATTTATTTTCTAGTAAAAACGCACTGGGTCTTTGATTTGGGGGATGTCTGTTTGTATGCATTCAAATACGATGGAAATGTTTGTGATAACCAACAAAGAACACTGGACAGCTGTTTCGTCCTGTTTGGGACTCGTCAACAGTGCGTACATTTTGTGTCCCTGTCAGGATTCCAACCGCGATCAGTCGGGTCGGGATTTCAAACCCTTACTCCTGAGCTACACGGTCGACGGTTTGAAGTCCCGACCCGACTGATCGCGGTTCGAGCCCTGACAGGGACAGAAAAAGTACGCACTGCTGACGAGTCCCAAACACGACGAAACAGCTGTCCAGTGTTCTTTGTTGGTTATCACAAACATTTCCATCGCATTTGGATGCATACAAACAGTGGGGAATGAACGATCTCCCAAGGAGTGAAACCCACACACCCAAGACCATCAAGAGTGCCTAGTGCCTCTGATCAACTGAATGGATTAATCCGAGCTTGATACTCCAGATAACTTATATTGTTGAGATTTATATTCACGAAGAGGTTGCCAAGTTTCCCGGTTGTTGAGTGAAAAAATGCAAACATAAACGGGGTTTAAAAAAACGTGCGAAATCTTGTTCGCTTGCTAATTACGTGGCATCGAGTACAAACATCACAGTTCGCAGACCAGTCGGAAGAGTTGGTCCTAAATTGTCAAATTACGAAGCTTTAGTCTGCATTCGAAAGATGGGAGGGGGGGTATCTCGTGAAATATAGCAAATGCTACAATTTAACAACAATCCCGCGTTTCTCGAATCCCAGTGTAGGAGTTGGTAACTAACCTGTGCGAACGTCATTTGAATGCACATAAAATTCTCATCGACTCCACACATGCGTTACACGCAGATTTAACTTTCAATGTTGTCTTATTCCCTCTCCAATAAACATATGTCGTAACTCTAAAGTACCGTCATTAGCACTTATTTTACATTCAACAAAGAATAGGTTTTCATAGATTTTGGTAAAAGTTATGCGATTCAAATATTTTATTCCGATTTATATAATTTTAACAGAAATGTAGGGTTTATGCCTGTAGATGTTATTACGATTGCAACGATATAATAATTGGATAACCAGGAAAATACCATGATTGACGTGACTTGTGACATTTATTCCACCCTGTATCTTGGTTTTACCTCATTTTGTGCCTTTCATAAACTCTTCAGTCCAAATTCCGTTTCGCGTTATCCGAGTACCAATAGTACTCCGATTACCAAAGATTCCCCGAATAAGTTAATTGCACTTCGAGGAAAGTATACCATTCTTATGCAAAATATTTTCTGTTCGATCAAATATATCTACAATTCGTGTGTATATGCAGTCGGCGGGATCGAAGAATTTAGTGATCCTAGCCCACAGGATAACGCCAGCCATGGAGAGACGCGTTACAGTTTCTTGACAATTGTGATGAGTAGACTGTCTTGGATGACGTCAACGAAACGCCCACGCAGTACAGTTTCTGGACAACGAACCACAGGCTAATGGTACCGACCAATCAGAAGTCATGCAGTCCAAACAGAAGCTGTATGACGTCAAGATTACAAGTAGGCCTCGTTCTTGCGTCTCGGTGCGGGTAGATACCAGCGTGCAAGCACTAAAGCGATTAAGCGTTTCAGTTACACCAGTGATTTGTGATTCGTAATTCGTGACCTGTGCCTACATCGATCACTACAGAAAATCCCCAGGAGAGTGATGCACGTGCGCGATAGATATCTCACCAACGACCCTAGGATCCTCGAACTCACGTGACTAGTCGTCTTCATTGGTTCATCTGCGTAATGTACCAAAGCGGAACATGAGCCAAACCAGATCGGAATAGTTAAATGGGGTTGGTACCGGTTTGTCTCAACTGTCCTTGTGCATGCATGAAGATGGGACGGTTTCACTAGCCTGGATTTCCGCATACCGGCAGCCGATGATTAGCGTAACAGGATCATAGAATACTTTAGTCACACTGGTTGTCGAAAGCAAATTTTATGCTCGGAAATTTACATTTTTCTTTGGGAAGGCGGGGGGGGCGGGAAGGGGACCGGGAGGGAGGAGAAGCCGATTAGGTTTGTCAGTTTGCACAAACACAGCGCACACAACGTGACATATTACGTCAACCTTTTTTCATGCAGATTCAAACTGATTTGGTTTGAATCGTTTAATCCGATACAGAGATAGATGCACTTCAATTGTCACAGTGATCCACAATCCCGATCAATGCGAGGCTGAGAATCAAACAACTTTGTTGTGTGAACACTACTAGGTCAGGACGCTCAGGATACCAATAAAACGTGCTCGAACGAAATACAGAAAATCAATGCACCTCCAGGTGTATTTGGACGATAAATTTGCGTGTCGCTGATCCCGAATGCCGGTTGATGCGGAATTTCGAGAAGAGGAATGGAGAAGAGAATTCCCAAACAAGATAAGAACAACCACAAAATGAAAAAATCAAAAGTACCGAACGCGAATAAACAAGCAAAATGATCGTGATGATGATCGTGATGATGATGATGATGAGGAGGAGGAGGATGATGATGATGATGATGATGATGATGATGACGATGATGAGGAGGAGGAGGAGGATGAGGATGATGACGAGGACGACAACGACAACGACAACGACAACGAAAGTTAACGAAGAGGAGAATTCTATCGTGGATCGATGAATGAATGCAATTTGGTTTCAGTGCCAATATGAGACACAACTTGTGCTCTGGTGAACTGGTGAAACAGGTGCTTTTTGTGTTTTTATCTCTGTGTGTTCTCAGTGGAGTTATATACTCCGTGTATGTGGTCGACTGTACCGTAAGCTCAAATTAGTCAAAATATAAACACTGATTTTGTTTTCTCGATCGACTTCCCTGTCGACGAGGTGAGACGTGTGTGTGTATGAGAGGGAGAGGGAGAATTGAAAACGAACGATTTTGTTCTCATCGGTCACAGATGGTGGAATAAAAAAAATACAGTCCAGTTTAGGAACAGGTGTAGAACAAAAGCTCCGGGAGAAATCCACGATCCACTTCTCCGTTTTCCACTCCTTCAGCGTTGTCGAAGAAGTGGAAAACCACGTCGTGGTTATCTTGGCCGTGTTTGTTTGGTCCACTTTGTGGTGCCGATTCGTTCGATCCACGATGGTGATGATGATGTCGAGATTTACGGGTATTTTCGTGCCGACCGGGATATCCGGCAGCAGACTCGTCAGAGCCACATGGAACACGTACTTCTGCTCGTCCAAACAGACCAATGTACAAACTGGATGAGTTCATAGCTGTGGATGAAGAGGAAGCTGAGGCGACACGTTCTGCGTGGGATGTTTGGACGTGAATCACATAGCGTCTATTCCGGACAATCTGAAAAGAAGAAGGAAAGAACCGAATTGGTGAAAATAGGTCTTCTAACAACAGCATGCCGAGAGTCTGTTGTGTTCTAGCGTGTCTGATCAATTTTGAATATCACTGAACGTAGACCCGTCTGACTAAAAACGTGAATTTATCTAGGTTTTCATATTTTGACTATACAAATGTACAACAAGAATTTAGGAAGGTGGCTAAAGCCACACAAAGGTTTCCAGGCGAATACAGAAATGGTGAAGATGAGCGGTGTTGCCGAAACTCAAACTTGGGACCTACAGGTCATTGATTCGATGACCATAACCATTACAGTATGCATGAGTTACCTGACCTTGCTTTCTGTGCGCGAAACCGTAGCTCATGTTTGTTCCGTATTGTTTACACATCGAGCACAAACATGAACGAGTGACTCGAGAAAACCAGGGTTTTTACCCAACTCCCCTTCGGTGAACTACTGGTAGTTTTCCGACCTCTCGCATTGTTGGGTAAACACCTCTGTCCCACCAGAAAGCGGTGAGTAGAGCTTTTACAGAAGAAACCATTTTGGATATTAGACAGTAGTTGGTCACCCAAAAACCCTGACTGTCCGACTGGAAGTTAAGCAATTCCTATTTCTAGCATTGATGCAAGAGATTGTATCATTGATCCGCGTGGTTAGGCTACACTGTGGACAATCTGTATTTAAGGAGATATCGACAATTAATGCTTATATTTGGGATATGTAAATGGTTCGCCCATGTGACCAAGAATGAATGCTCGCTATCGTAAGAACAGCCATCACATGTTGGTTATTATCCGATCTTCCTTTAAAACAGACCAACTCGACGGCATGATCGGGATACTGCAAATATTTTCGCTTTACCGAGCATCATGAACCCTGCCACATGGTTGCTCTAGGGCCTTTGAGGAGAGATTACGATCATTGGGACCATATTCTGCTTAGTACCGCCGAATCTGGGGAGCCTTCATTTTGGGATACTAAATTCTGCAGAACTGAAACCATCCACGTCAGCCGCTGCTTACATTGCCGCCCAACATAAAACTTAGGGGATATCGTTTCAAATTACTGACTCCAAGGTTTCGAACTGAATGCCGGCATCAATCGTTTGCAGTCAGAATGTGCAGTGCTTGGAACAACGCCCTTCCATCTCACGTCGATGGTGGGCAAAATGTTGAATCTTTCAAATGGAAACTTCATGAAACCTTGACACACCTCGCCTGCCTTCACAATTAAAAAACTCAAACTAGTTACAGACTAAACTGTGTTTTATCTCCTACTCGAAGCTCCATGTGACATTTACCATTGTTTTGGTGAGAACGGACTCAACTGTCTCAATATTCCATGGGGGAAAAAAGAACCATGAGCTTGTAAGTAATTCCCCTAATAAAACGTTGACTTACATTTCACATTATCTGGTCTTTGAGACAAACTGTTATTTTTCGGTAAGAAATCCTGTTTTTTTCTCGTTGTTTGCAAACCGAGTGAGCTTTTAATGACCTTTTTCGTGATTGTACAATCCGAACACGGATGGCCCACGTTACTGTACCGACAACCCGTTCCTATACAAACACAAATGATACGTCTGGTAGTTGGGTTAGCCTACTGCTAGATTATCCGGTTACACTAGTTTCCGAATAGACGTTGCAATATGTTTTGTCACAGAGTAAGAATCGGAAAACCAACACAACCCATGGTGCCATTGGTTTATGACGATCGGACAACCGAACAACAAAATCATATGATCATTGCAAGTCCCGTATCCCACCTCAAGATGACAATGGACCCCAATTATCTGTGATGTCTATATTTCACTTCCCAAAACATTTTTATAGTTGACCATAAATATGTATAGAAATATCTATCTGTTTTGATGGTTTGGTATGCCTACGAATCGACGAAAACGAGCTTGTTCGCTGCTCTGCGTCTTGTTTGCAATGTGTCAATCACTATACATGAGAACTCCGATACAACCTGACTAAATTCCATCCACGAACCATTCGGATACGCTTTCATCCTTATCCAGTTACACAATTCGGTTTGATTGACCTTGCAGAAATGTCAAAACTTAGTCACTGTAACCAAAACTTTGCATTGCTAGAATCCAACGAAAAGTGTTCACTGAATGAGATCAACAACAATACGAACACTTCACACCTACTGACTGCAAATCAATTCTAACCGGTCTTTCACCAGTCTGTTCCACATGAACCTTTTAGAGAGAACCCCATGTTTCCGCATATGTCACGCAATTTTATTCAGCAACTTCTCAAATTCATCAAAAATAATTTCCCCTTGCCCCTAAAATATACTTCTTTTTACTCATGAATCCGGAAGTAATCAGTGCTATTCCTGGCCCCTATCATCCCCGTGTCTTAATACCGTGCGAACTGAGCTACCAAGACAAATAAGTAGTATATTACAAAGATTGACATAAAATGAGCAAGAGTGTGTGATGTAATAATGAGAAACAGATGTGTTACCTTTACTGGGCAGGAGAAACAGATCTCGTACACCCGACTGGACCCGTCTGATTCAATCTGGGTACGGATAACAGCCAGACTGTTGGAATCCGAACCGAAACTGCTTGATCGTGATTCGGCACTGGTATTTCCGCCTGCCACTCGGCTCAAATCACTGGGAATGTGAATCACTGTATCCTCTGTTTGACCTTGACCCTGTTGTCGACGTGTTGGTTGTGGTCGACCGGACCAGTCGAAACGGGCGAACTCAAGCAGACTGTTGGCGCGAGCCGCAGACCGAGATGGTGGCGCGGACGAACACTGCGTTCCCTGCTCAGACGGAGAACGAGCCTCAGTCGAACGTTCGGAAGGCCCGTGGTATTGTGTACCCACCGAGTTTACCCCACCGGATATGACGGGTTTCGGTGTACAACGGGCCAAATTAGCGCACACCTGAAGACATTCACCCATCTGTGTGGATCCGTACAGTCCGATTCCAGCCAGAAACACCGAGGTAGACACCTGCAACATGATAGAACAATCAGATGAGAATGCAATACAATTTACTTGCAAACCAAAACACAGAACACGTGACATTTGGATTCAGCATGATAGAGAATAGAACCCGATTTCAGTAGGTGATTACAAATTAACCCTTTCTGAAGTGTGTCTGTGTGTGTGCATGAGAATTCAAATATCATTTCGCATTTACTTGGAAATGTTTGTTGAATTCGGAGGAATCAATCATGGCTCATAGCCAAATAGCCGACCAGAATCTGACTGCGAAGGTCAACACGACATTCATGTGATCGAACTGTCACGTGAAATCCATCGCTTGCGAAGCACATAGAGACCAAATGCATAGCAGTTTCAACAATAGGGTCCGATTCCTTTATACCGAATAGGGGCCGTTCAAACTAGATGATCACAAGGAGCATAAAATAGTTCCGTCGTGGGAGATCTGAGTAGATCGTCTAATCAATCGATCGTTTCTGTGTTAGCTGGGGCCCAGTAAGAGGGTCTCACAATAAAATGAAAAAATCGTTTTCGAAGATTGTTTTAAATAGATCATTTATTCTGGCCCATAAAAATGAGATTAGGTAGTACGAGCACAAAAAGAAAAACGAATCGCTCAGAGAGAATAAATCAAACGACGAGGCACCAGAAAGAATCGATTTTTTGAAACTTGTGACACACGGTTGTGGTGCACGACACTGTATTTCACTAGCAAGTTCATTTCTGTCGTTCGGGTTCAACAAGCCGAAATACTTAGGGAAAATCGAATATATACATATATATATATGAGTTTTATTTGCTTTCCTCTCCCACGATATCCAAGTTACGTCATGTATGTAGATATATCATGAGCATGCGTGATGTATGAGAGACAATGATTGAATCATCTGAGACAGATGATGCAAAATTAATGAATGTTACTCATCGGACTCTTACAAAGTTTATGCGAACTTGTTGCTGCCAATGAGGAATGTTTATCAATTGCATATATATATATATATATATATATATATATATATATATAT